AGAAAGAAAGAAAGAAAGAAAGAAAGAAAGAAAGAAAGAAAGAAAGAAAGAAAGAAAGAAAGAAAGAAAGAAAGAAAGAAAGAAAGAAAGAAAGAAAAAGGAAGGAAGGAAGGAAGGAAGGAAGGAAGTAAATTATAGGCCAATATCCTTGATGAACAGAGATATAAAAATCTTCAACAAAATATTAGCAAACCAAATTAAGCAATACATTAAAAAGATCATACACTATGATCAAGAGGGATTTATCTTTGGGATACAAGACTGATTCAATATTTGCAAATAAATTAATGTGATACACCACATATACAAAATGAAAGATAAAAATCATATGATCATATCAATAGATACAGAAAAAATGTTTGACAAAATACAGCATCCATTTGTGATTTAAAAAAAAAACTCTCAGCAAAGTGAAACTAGGGGGAATATACCTAAACATAATAAAAGCCATATATGACAAACTCACAGCTAACATCATACTCAATGGTGAAAAGTAAAAGCATTTTCCTAAAGACCAGGAAAAAGACAGATGTTCACTTTCACCACTTTTATTCAACATAAAATTGGAAGTTCTAGTCACAGCAATCAGACAAGAAAAAGAAATAAAAGGCATCCAAATCAGAAAGAAAGAAGTAAAACTGTCATTATTTGTAGATGGCATGATACTATATAGAGAGAACACTAAAGAGTCCACCAAAAAACTACTAGATCTGATAAACGAACTCAGTAAATCACCCAGATACAAAATTAATACTCAGAAATCAGTTGCATTTTCATATACCAATAATGAACTATCAAAAAGAGAAATAAGAAAGCAATCCCATTAACAATTGCATCAAAAATAAAATAAAATACCTAGGAATAAACTTAACCAAGAAGGTAAATGTCCTACTTGGAAAATTATGGCATTAAAGAAAGAAAATTAAGAACATATAAATAAATAGAAGCACACACCATGCTCATTGATAGGGAGAATTAACATCATTAAAATGTCCACACTACCCAAAGCAATCTATAGATTCAATGCAATCCTTATCAAAATACTAATGACATTTTTCACAGAACTAGAATAAGTATCCTAAAGTTTGTATAGAACCACAAAAGACCCCGAATAGCCACAGCAATATTGAGAAAGAAGAACAAAGTTGGAGGAATCACACTACCTAATATCAAACTATACTACAATACTGTAGTGATCAAAGCAACATGATACTGGCCTAAAAACAGACACATAGATCAATGGAACAGAATACAGAGCTCCCTATATGGTCAATTAATCTATGACAAAGGAGGCAAGAATATACAGTAGGGTAAGGACACTCTGTTCAATAAATGGTGTTTGGAAAACTGGACAGATACATGCAAAAAATGAAACTAGACCATCTTCTCATGCCATATACAAGAATAAACTCAAAATAGTTTAAAGACTTAAATGTAAGATCCCAAACCATAAAACTCTTAGAAGAAAACATAAGCAGTAAACTCTCTGGCACTGTTCTTAGCAATATTTTTGTCTGATGTATCTCCTCAGGCAAGGGAAAGAAAAGAAAAAATAAACAAATGGAACTACATCAAACTAAAAAGGTTTTGCACAACAAAGGAAACCACAAACAAAATGAAAAGACAACCGACTGAATGGGACAAGATATTTGCCAATGATACTTCTGATAATGGGTTAATATCCAAAATTTATAAGGAACTCATACAATTCAACATCAAAAAAACAATCCAATTTAAAAATGGGCAAAGGACCTGAACAGTCATTTCTGCGGAGGACATACAGATGACTAATAATATAAAAAGATGCTCAACATCACTAATCATCATAGAAATGCACATTAAAACCACAATGAGATATCACCTCACACCTGTTAGAATGATCATCATCAATAAATCAACAATCAACAGGTGTTGGCAAAGATGTGGAGCAGGGAGTGGACAAGCCTTCATGTACTGTTGGTGGGATTGCTAATTGGTTGTGGCAACTGTGGAAGACAGTGTGGATTTTCCTCAGAATATTAAAAATAGAGCTGCCTTATGACCCAGCAATTCAACTTTTGGGTATTTATCTGAATAAATCCAAATCACTAATTCAAAAAGATATATGCACTCCTATGTTCATTGCAGCATTATTTACAATAGCTATGATATGTAAGCAACCTCAGTGCCCATCCATAGACAACTGGATAAAGAAGTGGTACATATATGCAATGAAATATTACTCACCCATAAAAAAAGAGTGAAATCTTACCATTTGCGACAACATGGATGGACCTAAAGTGTATTATGCTAAGTGATATAATTCAAACAGAGAAAGACAAATACTATATGATCTTACTTATATGCGGAACCTAAAGGACAAAATAAATTAACAAACAAAACAGAAACAGGCTCATAGAAACAGAAATAAATTGATGATTACCAGATAGGAGGGGGGTTGAGGTCTTGGGTGAAAAAGGTAAAATGATTAACACATACAAATGGGTAGTTACGAAATAGTCATGGAGATGTAAAGTACAGCACAGGGAATATAGTCAGTAATACTGTAATAACTATGCATAGTGCCAGGTGGTTACTAGACTAATCAAGGGATCACTTCATAAATTATATAAATGTCTAACCACTATGCTGTACCCCTGAAAGTAATATAAAATAAGATTGAATGCTAACTGTAAACAAATTACAATAAATAAAAAAATTAAAACAAGAGAATTGATGATCAGCACAATTAAGTAACAGTCAAGGTCATTTGAGACATGAGTAATTCTCTGTAATCATTGGTTGAATAGAATTCCATTTAATAAAAATCACGAGTGAATGTAGGCTCTGGACTCATAGGCATTACCTTCACATTCAACCCATGTGTCCTCATCATGGGTGCAGTTGTTCTTCCCCCAAAGCATAGAAGTGCAATGCTGAAGGCTGAGTTCTTGTCCTGAGCATGACACTTGGCTCAGCCAGATGGTTCCTTGGCCCTGGGTAGCCTTGTTGCAGCATCTTTGGGTCAGCGTGGCCCTCCCACAACCCAGCTGCTGGCACACCACCTTTGCAGCTGATAGGTTCCAGCCTGCATTGCACACGGTGCCCCACTGTTCTTGGTGCTTCACCTCCACTCTCCCCTTGCAGCGCCCAAGGCCGTCAGCCAGCCGCAGGTTCCCTGGAGGGGGAGAGAAGAGAAAGTGTCTACTCCCTACAAGAGCACAGTCTTCTCAGAAAACATATCTCTTGGTTCTTGGTGTTAGTACAATGTATATTATAGTGCTTAGCATTGACTAATAGATGCTTGTTGAAAGAACAGATGAGTGAATCAATGAAGTGAATGCTATTTCTCAGTTCCAAGTTAAATAAATCATTAATTACTTTTGTAGCATTTTTAATTTTTAAAATATTTTTTAAATTTATATTCTCATTTTTTTTAATAAAAAGCATATAAAGACATTGCATAGATTTTAAAAATAAAAATACAAAAGTAACATATGTTGTGTCCAAGACCAAAACCTTTTTGTTCAGTTTTAGCATTATCACCCAAGTATCCCAGATTAGTGCTCTCAACCTTTAATATTTCTAAGAAGTAGGAATGAGGCCTCAGCATCAGAGCACAAATATTTAGAGATTATTTTCCTGGTAACAAACTGGAGGGTGACAAAGAGAAGACATGAACTAGTCCCTCAGCAAAATCACAGTCTAATGGGGAAGAAGGTATATACAGAGGTGGGAGAATTAATACATAGAAAGTAATTATGTGAAGGGAGTAAAGGAATACAACAAAAAATACAATTATATAGTTATATATAGTTTTATTTATAAGTATATATAGTTTTATTTATAACATATATATATATATATTATATATATAAATGTATATGTATTTGTGTTGTGTTAGTTTCTTATGAGCATCTCCTGTCTAACTAGATAGTGGATGCCTTCAGAAGTGAAAAAGCATATATTAAATTTTGTGAGCTCATTTCTTCCCCATAACTCCACCCCAAGCCCCAAACACAGGATACATTATTCAACAAATGTTTAGTGGTTGTTTGAAGAGTGTGTGTGTGTGTGTGTGTGTGTGTGTGTGTGTGTGTGTGTGTAGAAGAGAAACAGATTTTCATATAGACTGAAAGAGAAAAGCATTAACTCAACCAAGGAACATTGAAATGCTAGGGATAGACGGGTATATGTTTTATATTACTATAGCCAAGTCTCTATGATTGAATATAAAAGAATGATTAAATAAATTATACTGGTGAATTTTGGAATAAGAAATTTTTTATGTTTATGATGTTGAGAATAATTTTGTGGAGTTGGTCTGGAAGGATGAAAGGCATCCCCCTCACCAACGAGACTACTCCATATAATGTGTGACTGACCTCCAAAGTAAAAGAAATACTTACAGTTGGCTATACCCATTCCCAAGCATACCTAAAATTAATCAATATTACTTATTTTTACATAAATATCTACAATCAAATGAAGTTCATGAACCTTAAAATTGACTACCTTATATTTAACATTACCTAAAGTTAACTAAACTTAACCCTATAATTAAAAATACCTAAAATCAAGTACTTGACCTTATTTTTTATACCTAAACTTATACTTAAAAACACCTAAAATTAATTATACTTAACATTATACTTATAAACACCTAAAACTAAGATACTGGGTGGTTTTAAAAAAGAATTTTATCCCATTGATATCTCCTAGGAATTTGAAATATTTATTTAAAAATTTAAGATGGCCAGAAATAGACAAATTTAGACCCATTTAATAATTGATATTTTAGTACTTTGTTATTTTGAAATACCTATTAAAATCTTTAATAACTTTTATTATTTAACATATCTTGGTGAAAATAAGAAATTAGCCTTAAATATATTTATTTATTTATTTATTTATTTATTTATTTTATGTGATCCTGAGTAGTTAATTGTTATTATCTTAATTAATAAAGTATTTAATCTTTCATTTTTAGCTAATCAAATATTATAAATTGATAGTACCATCCAGAGGCAAAAACATCATAATACATATAAAACATAGACAAATTAAACCTCAGAGACTATATATATAAACAGAATTATTAATAATTGTAGAGAGGACCGAAGATCTTATAGTTGTCCTTATAACTTTAGGAGGCTGTAATAAGGAGTGGCGGGGAGGGGGGGTGTCTCTCTCTCTCTCTCTTTTTTTTTTTTTTAGTTACCTCATCCTTAAGCGGAGACTGTAGCAGCCCTATGCTCACATTTGAGGCTATTTGTAAGACTTTGAAAGTTACTGAGCGTTAGAGAAATCTTTTAAGACTTATTTTTGTTAAGTTGCCGAATACAGAAGAGGAAGTGCGGCTGCCAAAGAGTTATTCAAGGGGCCCTTTCTCCTGTTCTCCCTACTCCTCCGGGTGGCACAGAGCCTCGGAGCTGACCGTGAGGCTGTCCTGTACCAGTTCCCAAAGTGAAAGTACTTGTTTGGAGGTTTCTCCAGCCCCTCGAGCTCCTGTCTTTCTCTAAGCTGCCTTTTAACCCTTTCCCATACCTCTGAATCAAGAGTGCCTTCCTCAATGGTGGGGGAGTGTCCTGGGAGTCCTGAACACGTTCCATTAACTTATTACCTATAGTTCTAAATGCTAATGTCAGCCCGTAAAGCCGATCCTCTAAAGGCCAGGAAACCTCAGAGACTGGGCTTCTGGCACCTGAGACATGCTCATCAGGCGTTGGGTGCGGGGGAGGGACCTTCCGAGGTGTGGGTTTAGGCTGACGACTGGCCAAAGCGGCAAGAGCTGGTGCCGCATCTCTGGATGGATTAGGATCCTCCTCATCATCCTCATCCAAGGAGTCCTCCCTTCCACGATTGTACTGTTGTTCCTCCCTTGCCAGCTCCTGAGAGTACTCAGGTGGCAAGGGTTCATCCCGAAGCCCTTTGCTATTTTTCTTCTCACTGCCTTGAGGCAGTGAATTTTCATGTTCCTCAAGAGTGACTCTTAGCTTTTCTGCTATAGTTTGAGGTTGTGCTTCAG